ACTGTGGAAGCTTTCAGCCAAGTCTAATGAGCCTGTGCCTGATTCGGATTCTGATTTTGATGTTGATTCCTTCGCCTGTTCTCGCTTCCTCGCTGCTGAACATAATCAGGGTTCAATAAACACCGCATCGCATCTGCGATAAAGAAAGCAGAATGTAGAACGAAGGAGGCTGCTCTATGAACCTTCTCGCAGGGGCTGAAAATGCAAATCAACAGCTTAAAATTTAATTTAGGCGTTAGCAATGTAAATAAACTGTAGGCGGTGAGCGCAGTTGCCAGCCGCGCCTCGAATGGAGCGTAGTGAAATGGAATGGGCCTGTGTACTTAGGAGGAGTTCGCCCGAGTGACCATTTATGATTCGGGCCTGGTCCCAAATTCAATTCCGAACATTTGGTTAACTTTGTTAAAAAGTCGAAATTAAAATAAGGCAAAAAGTCACTGGCCAGCCGGAGAACAACAACCAAAAAAATCACGAAAATTCCTTGACCGCAGTCAGGGCAAAACCCTGTCTGAGAGACCGCAACAAAGTTGAAGTTGCGTATCCGCCGCGTGTTGCAAAATAAATTGAAAGAAGAGCACGCAACTAATATTGTCTCACTCTGTCTCTGTCACTCTGTCGCTCTGTCGTGTTTCTTTTCTTTGCTTTCACTTTTGGTAAGAGTCTTACAAATTGCACAGCTCAAAGGGAAGTTGATGAGCTCTCGCGAAGTTGGTTATAAATTTTGTTGAAGAATGATTTCATTTTGCGCCCGGCAATGGCGACACGTTAATCTGCAGCGGCGGTGGGGCTGCCTGCCCCAGGGGTCTCCTGCTGACTCCATTGAACCCATAAATAAAATCAATAATAGCATAAATAATATATGTATAGAGTTTTATGGCAGCGGTAGCGGCAGTAGCAGCAGCAGCAGCAGGAGTATCAGGAACAAATATGGGGAAAAAAAGGAACGCCCTGGGAGACAATCGCCTAGGCCCATGGGTCGAACGAGCGGCCGGGCCAAAGCTAACCCCGAGCAGCGCACAGTCCTCCCTTTACACATGCCTGACACAACACAAAAATGAAAGTTAAACCCAAAAAAGAGGCAAGAACGGACACAGAGAGAGAGAGAGAGAGAGAGAGAGAGAGAGAGAAAGACAGAGAGTGGGTAGGCGAGGCAGGAGCGGAGCTGTGCCACTCCGAACCTTTAACTAACACACAAAAGGCTTTCTCAATGGTTTCTAAAGTTGCAAGCAGCCAACCAGCGTCAAGACAAAAAAGCAGTGTGTAGAGTGAGGGACAAGTGGTGAGGGGCATGTGGCAAGTGCAAAGTAAACATGTCGAATGAAGGATACTTAAGCTGCCAGGCGAACGAGGGCCGACCGAAAAGTTGGCCTTTTGAGTAGTGTGAGAGTGGAACTTCATTTGCCAGGCAGTTCCAACAGGCCCGGGGCATCATTGGCAGCTGGTATTTAGGGAATTTGCTTAGCTCAACCCTTGAAATGCAGGCAATCCTCTTAAAAGTTGACTTTTGAGTGGCGTTTGGGATGTTGGAATTTGCCTGCGGAAATCATTTTTACCTGGCTAAGAACAACACTTCAATGATTTATAAAAGTATAAGTAAATGAGAAGATTTTAAAGGTATTATTTGCCGTTCCTGTGAGCTATTTAAGTGGTCCTCTGGGATGATTGTTCAAGTCGTTTGAGTATGTAAAGAAATAATTAAGACGTGGCTCTCGTTGAACCTGTGAAACAGGGACTAAACTTATTCGAGACTCAAAAGAGAAAAGCTAAATGTTGTCTCAACATTATCTTATCATCCGCCAACCCTCGTTCTCTGCATTGCAGCCACTCCACTTTATTTGGCTTTGCCACATTACAATATTCTAAACAATAATCTGTCCCAAAGAGCCAAAACACAAATACAACAATTCCGGGCATGCCAAGGGCACAGACAGATGTCTTTGAGTGTCGAGCGGCACTTAATGACATAAACACTGGTCCTTGCCGTCGCTGGATGAATTGTGGCATCTTCAGCACGGTACGGCTCAGTGTCAGCCCCTCGCTCTTAGCCCTAGCCCCAGCGGAAGTTCTACTAATGAGAAAAGCGTTGAGCCGCCAATCCGCCAATCCGCCATTGTCGCCCGGGCACACGAACGAACCACAAGAGCTAGGGAACTGGAAGGACTCCCTGCCACTAATATTATTAATTTGCAAGTTTCGTTGCTCCTTTTGCCCCGAGTTAAGTCAATGGCAAATATCGTTCATGGTATTTAGTGGGCAATAAAATACGCAATGGGAATTTCCATTCCCTGAGCCCGACAGCCCGGCCAAAATGCGAAACTGATTTAAATGCTTTCTTAAACATTTTTCCGGATTCGGTTGCAAATATTTGCTTAGCTGATTGAACAAACGGAGAGCACTGGGAGTGGAAAACTGTTGGAAATTAAGGTCTGTTTATTGCTTTTTGCGGCTTGCACATTTCTTTGATTCCTGATGCTACACTTGACGTGTGCCCCATGGAAACCTCTCATCGATTGAGCAGCCAATGGTGTGCAACACGACTTAAAAGTCTTGTGGTCTGTGCACACGGCTCGGATTTATTGGGTCGAAACTTTTCAGCAAAGTGTGAACGATTTGTGGTTAATAAACGCCATTTAAGAGCCAAACTGAATATTTATAGCACTGAAATGTGAGGGGCAGCAGAGTCAATGTTGTCACTTCGTCAATGTTGGGTCTGAGTCTATTGACAGCAATTCTTTAATTAAATTTTCAATCAGAAAACGACAAAAGTATTGGCACTCAGCGTATGGTATGCATCGCATCATTATGCCAGCTATGAATTTGATTAGCTTAGAGCCAAATCCGAACAGACGAGACAATCGGCATAATAACAAAAACAACCCGGCAGGCAGCCGCCCTTCCAGGGGAATGGCACACAGAAATGCCTTAAGGCATTCATTCTATTTATCATTTATCCAGCAATTTATCGAAAGACATTCGAGTCGATGCGGAGGAGATGCGGGGATGAGGACTAGGCCTGGGACTGGGCTGCCGATGAGATATTGCTAAAATGAATAAAGGCATTTGCATTTAAAACAGCCGGCAAGGCTTTAAGGGCATTAGCCGTATCAGGACACACGCGCTGCAGATTGTCTTGAAAATGGACTGGGTAACGGTCTGTGCGCAAATCTCATTGAATTTGAAACCATTCGAAAGTTTCCAGCAAATAGAACATCCATACACGTATGCACATGTCTGTATCTGGGAACTATACAATGTAAAACCCCCGACTGTATTAGTGGAATTCAAACTTTTTCGAGCGTAACTTGAAAAGTTTCAATTTGTGCATGACAATCTCCCACTGTCAGTCTGTCCCTCTGTCTTTCTGTCTGTCCGCCCTAGTACGTGTGTGCTTCTGCTTTTTCAGCTCTGTTCTGCGTTATTCTGTTTTATTTTGCCCTATTCTGGCAATGTAGTTTTGCAGTCGATGCTGGGATAAAAGTTTCCGCCTCGGCCATAACGAGCAGACTGACAGACAGGGCTGACGTGTAGTTCAGAGCTTTTGCTAAATTTGATTTGAACAACGAAGCAGCCGAATTTCAATTAAATGCTGGTGCAGCTCTCTAGCTGCATATCCCTGGCCAAGAAAATCGATTGCCAGAGCCAAGTTGTAGTCGGAAAACCCATTCACAAGTGCAACAAAAAAAGGCCAAAGGCTGACTGCTCAAAGGTGAGTCGAACGGCCACTTGGGGGCGGGCCTGAGGCGCCACCTGCGAGGCCCGTCCAACAGCGAATCAAGTGGCAAATGCCAAATGGCATCGTGACCCAGAATCTGCAGCAGCCAAGTACGAGTATCAGGCAGTGCATGAACCCAGTCTCCTGTGTGCACTGTGATCCGGAATTGGTAGAAACCAACGAGAGGAAATTGGGTGCCAGAAATCGAATAAAAAACTATGTGGCATTGGGAAACGGTCGGAGATTTTTGTTTTTTATTCTTATTTGAATTTATATATATATCAAACGAATAATGACACGTACCACGTTTGTTCCTATACATTCTAAAACAGTTCTTTACATGATATAATGTAAACCGTATTTATTGTATGATTTTTATCATACTATTCACGGTTTTACTTCGGTTGGTCCTACTCCTTTTGCTTGCCTTTCTTGTCTCTAGTCATTCTTTCATTCACTGACAACGAGTGTTGTTACTGCACACAAATAACACACAATTGAATGAAATGCACTACAACTTCTCAGCCACAAATAAAATTCCTATTTCTTTAGCTTTTGGTTAATTTTAAACCACTGTTCCTTGTGCGATTTCTCTAAATGGTGCCCATAGTGTAAATCGATGCTGAAGTTGCCAAGATTCCCAAAATCTCACACAATTATCTGAAATCCGAGCACTTCATCTAAAAATATACTAGACTACACCAGCTTGTAAGTCGAAATTCTGTTTTCATCGAATCTCCAGCCCAGTGTTCATGGTGCGATGTGTATCATTAGGGAGCGAGACGACCTGGGACTGTCTGGACAGCAGGCTGGGACCTAGGCCAAGGAAAGTCAGGCCAAACGACGGCTGAAAACGTACATATTCAAAGTGTCAGACAACTAACGCTGGCAACTTTATTAAGAGACAGAGCAACGTGCTGCACAGACACCAGACACGGCCAGAGGGGCACAGCGAAGGTTGGGTCTGAAAGAGGTTTAGCATTAGGTGACCCCCCCCCAACCTCAATGTTGCTTTTAAATAGACAGCAGTTCCCGTTTACGTAACCACTAAAAATGGCGCTCAATGTGTTTCCGTTTTGTTCTTTCGCTGTTCTGTTCTGTTCTGTTCTGTTATTTTCTCTGTGTTGTCTTGGGTGTGGGTCCTGTGCTCTATCCCGTTCTGTGTGTCTCTTTTTGTGTGTGGTGTCTGTGTGCCACTATTGCTGTGCTCTTTTTCCGTTTCACGTGCTGCGCCTGCAAGTAGGCAACACTCGCATGGCCGGGGCGAAAGTTTTTATTGTTTGCTTACTTGCTCAACACGCGCGTTGCGTCCGGATCTGATGAGGGAGGACAGGCCGAGGGCCAGGGGGCATTGTGCGGCAGCAGGATGAGACCGGGAGCCGCGACGCCGTCATTGTCGTTCTTGATTTGCGTTCTGCTGTTTGATGGTCGCCCTGTGGCCGAGTGGCACTGGTGTGGCGCTGGGCGTTTCGAATAAAACCAAAAATAAAGAAACTTTTTTCCCGTTTGTTTGTTGTTTTTATCGCAGTTTATTGTTACTGTTGTTTTGGCTGATAGCAGCTCAAAGTTTTCACACGCGCCAGTTTTAATGCCAGCGGCGGGTTTTTTTCTTCAACTTTGTTACCGCTGGCTGGCCAAACAATTTAATTTGTCATTAGCCTGTCACTGGCTCTATTTATACGACTGTCCGCCTTGGACGACCATAAAAAAGCCTCGAAATCGATTTGTTAAATTGGAATTTCCTTCGTTTTCTTTTTGATTTCCCCGCCTAGCAGCAGCAGTTGCTACCACTGCCGCCAACTGGCCACAATTTGAAGCACGTTTTGGTTTCTTTTGGCCAGCAGAGCAGCGTGAACACACGTACAAGACGCCGCCGCCCCAACGACACAGGCAGAGGCCCCCTGCACAAGTCAGTTCTCACATAGATGGAGTTTTTGTATCGTTTTTAGTAATGCCACGAAATTGAAACACGCACACGCGAACTCCGTTACCATTCGATGCGCCAGCCGGTGCTGTGGAGTGGTGGCCCTTGAGACGGATCCCCGCAACACCCCACACAATACCCAGAACTGTCACTATCACTTGGGTTGCTTTCTGGCAAACATGTGTGACAAGTGGTCACAGGACTCGATTGCTTATGTTTGGGGGTTTTTGTATTTATGGGCCCCGCAGTCTGTAAGCCTGAAAGCCTGAGAAGCCTCTCAGTCAGCTGGCGATGCGTTGTGGTGGGCGCCTGCTCTGGTAACTGGCCGCAAACTGAATGATGGGCAAGGCCAAGTCCTTTGGCGGCATATCAACACAGGCCGCGGCGAATTGGAATCCCTGAGAGAGGGTTTCAACGCAGGAGCGCTTCTGCGCAGTGTTTTGTGGCGGGAAAAAGGAATTTAAATGTCCAACAGGGATGCTTTGAAAGGGAGTAGATTTTGAATTGGTGTTCGTCTACAATTGCACACCAAGAGGCTGAAAGACCAGTAAATTCACTTATTATAACTTGATTCTAAAATTCTTATCTAAATTACACTTTTTGTGGTTTTTTTTGAAGTATTTTTAGTGTCCACCAATCTCGAATTTCATCTACTACGCTCTGAGCAACTCTACCAGCGTCAGCTGTGCCAAACCCCAGCCTCAGCCCGATGGGGGACAGGGCAACGGCAGCCACCCAAACCACCCCTTGACGCCGCCGAATTTGCCGCACCAAGGCAGTCGGAGACAGGACAACTACTCGCACTTCGTACTTCCCTTGGATCTCATCACCCTCTTTAGCCTCCCCCTCTCCCATGGCGTCAATATTTGCATTTGTAATAAAAATATTGTGATGCCACCACACACACAAACACACACAGCCAAGCCGCGTGCGTAAATCTAAAAAAGATTTGTTACTTCAGCTCGTGTTCATGTCGTGCAAATCAGAAACAACAAAGGGGCAGGGCAACACAACATGCAACAGCAAAAGTGATGGCAACAACAGTAGCACTAGGACAGCACTCCCAGCTGACGAAAGCAATATGCCGGCTCTGACTACGACTCCGACTACGGGCACTGTGGGTACGCGGATGGGCGTGGGTCCGTACTCCGACGGAGCGCTTGTCAGAGCACATGTCAAAGTTATTAAAATTTCATAAAAATATACAGAAGAGACAGAATTTGATTTGCGATTGCTGTTGTGTCACCGACAGTTGTGTAGTCTCTGTCTAAGTGACGGACCGAGTGACTGACTGACTGATAAGGTGTAGGACTATTTGACGCTCATTGTGTGCCCTTAAATATTGAAATGCTGATGAGCCATAAGGCGAGTGCGGGGGCACTCATCAGCCAGTGGCCTCTGGCTGTGCCACCCGACGCGTGTCTGTCACTTGTCACGGCCAAATTGGTTCGTCTTATGAGCGATGAATGCCTCAATGGCATCGGGGATCATTCACATTCACTTGTGAGCATCGCAGCGCAGTGTCGTGGAGCTACTGTATCCTAGACATTTCATAAGATTCCCCTTTGACTTTGATGAATGAATTTTGGTTTTGACTTGCATTTATTATGCCAATCTCCAATGTGGTTTTTCACAGCTTAATATATCTGAGGATTATTCAGCTTCAGTAAATGCTAAATATAAATCTAGAGTCGACTTTCTGTTACCCATGGAATACATATGTTTGCCATCGATCGATATTTACTATTTGTTTAAAGCGATTGAATATATTTTTCTTGTCTATAATATCCAAATGGAACAATAGACATGAAATTGTTTTGAAATGTTGGCAATCAAGATCACATCCGTATATATTTAATCAGGTCAAAAACTCTTCCCTGTCCGCCTGTTAGCTACATTTGCACGAATGCCACATGCTCGTATGCTCTTTGAGTGCCGGGTAAAACATTTCAAAACGTGCAAAACCAAACGCGTTTAATCTTGATGATGCCAGGACACACAGCTAACAGCTTTACCATCTCCCCATACCATTTTTCAAATTGATTGATGTATTACGAGCTGAAAAAGTTAAACAAATTTATTTAATTTGACTCGCCGCCACACCAGAATTAATTCCCGCGCCATCCTGTCAATATATTTTTTTGTCGCGACAATATTTGAATTTTATATTTGCTACAACATTTTTATCAACGTTTGCAAAGTCCCTTTCAGACACAATTTTTTCTTTATGAGTTTTTAAAATGGTGAAAAAGTTGTGCCTGTGTGGGGCTAGCCCCAGCTTGGCAGGGGAACTTTTCGTTGTCGTGTCTGTCACCTTTTTGGTAAATAAATTTAATTTATAGCGCCCTATGAAATACCATAAACTTTTGCCTACAGGTGCGAGCGATTTAAGGCATTGAAATTGTGTGTCGTGCTCCAGACAGAAGCGGGTCTCATGACAAAGTACTTTCCAGGAGCAAAGTACAGAGCACCTCTGCCTTTGCCATTGGTACGGAGCCGTCATTGCTATGATGCCGGTTAAATTACACACACTCACACCCACACACATACCACACATACATTTGGCATTTGGCAAATAAAAATCACTCATTCGACGCGTGAGCCAAGGCATCCGACGGCTGCCAGGGCGGGGGCCTTTGTAAAAATTTGTAATTTGTCAGCCGAACCCGAGGCTTGACAGTTATTTAGAAGTTTACAACTGTCGCCGGCAGTAATCAGCTTTACTTCTCTGCTGATAATATGCTGTTAATGTACTTTTGCCCAACACTGTGGGAGTGGGTAATTTCGGTTTATTTACTTCCAGTTTGTCCAGAACTTTTCCCGAGATAAAGGGCATGACTGTTGGGTCAACAGGCAGTCGGGCCGACTACATTATTAAAAAATGTATTTGACCATTGGGTCAGATGGCAATCCCTGGGTTAAATAAAAGACAAACTGTTTGGCTAAATCTGTAGTTTTCATAAATTTATTCTGTTTTTTGCTTTGCTTTGCTGTATGTTTTCCAACTTGAAGTTCGTTATGTTGCTTTATAATACACATGAATTTCAGATTCACTTAGTTAGTGGCTTAGTTTGCCGTTTACTTGACTCTACTCGAGGCTAGATTTGCTTGTCAGTTTGGCTTAATACTAGATCCTATTGTACTCGTATTTTTTCACGGAAAATTGCACAGCAAACATACAAGAAAACAATGTAACAAAAAGTTTTGTTTGGTTTTTGGTTTGTTCAATAAATAACTTGCACACACACACACACACATATATACACAGGCAGGCATAGATACATACACACACATATACAAATATAATATTTTTTAGCTTTGGGTTTCTGTGGTTTATAAAAATATAACAAGTTCTTTGGAGATTCAATCGATTTGTGTGTTTTTGGGGGGCGGGGCGGGGTGCGTTCTGTTCAGCTTCTTGAGGAAAGTCATACATACTCGTAAAATAAATACTTACTATGATATATTTAACATTTATATAGACGTATATTTATTTATACACCCTACACACAGTACATAGCGAGCTTTGGCTCTTTCTTCTTTCATTTTGGTTTATTTGTTATTGTATTTTCTCTTTTCTGGGACTAGCATCGCAAATGATTAAGAATTTTTCTGCTTTTCCGACAACTATTAACAATTTTTTCTTTTTCTACATAAACGGATTTCCTCTGTTTCTGCTTATTTCTTTGTCATTTGGCTCAACTTGAGAAATGCTCTTGGCCTTCCGCTCTGTGGCCCGTTGAGGGTAAATCATAAATAGGTAAGTTATCCGAACTGTTGCTACAATAATTTTATGGACTCGTTATGGAGTACACAAAGTAGTACGCAAAAATGCTTTCTTTGTCTGCTTTATTTGCCTCATTTGCATTTCATGGTCGAATTTTGGTTACGGTTCCGGTTGCTTTTGGTTGGTGGAACGAACGATTATATATTGCACTAGTATGTTTGTATGTGGAACACTATTCAGCGTTGTGATTGGGCCGCAATTGCTGGAATCAAGTTGCTGACTTCAGAAGCAGTGCTCAAGCCTTGCCTTCCCAGGCTACACAGTCAACTTAATTCCAGGAACTGCAACGCAATTTCCTCTGATTCATCGTCACACTCTCTGGAACGAACACGCACTTTCACATTCAAATTTCAACACTTGCAAACGGAATAGGAAACGGAAACGAACTACGGATACACCTAATTTGGTTTTAGTCCCATAATCTGATATCGATGCACTTGACTATATGTTGGTTAATATTATGTTGGGTCTCGCTAGAGAGGTTCCTTTTGATTTCGACTGCCACTTGGTAACGCTAGAAATGTCTGATACAACTAGATATTTTCGCTATGTTTAATTTATATGTAGGCATATCTTTTGTTTAATTTATTTAATATTTTTCGAATTATTTTGAGCATTTCAATTCATGCGATTGTCGAAGATGGGTTTTAGCTTTGCTTTTGCTTCCATGACTTTGTTTGGTTTCTCTGAATTTAATTGCAGTTTTGTATGGTGAATGGTAAATCCTTTTATGCATATGCAGGATGAATATCTCCCATAAATGTGTAAATGTTTTGCGGTGTGTTAATTGGCACAGTTTTAGCATTAGCTCTTCTAGTTTGGTGTTCGTATTCGGTTCTGGATCTGGACCTACGGGTATAGCTCAGTGTGTTGCAGTGATTGCCATTTGAATATAGATTTTTCTTGTAATGTTTAACAAATTTCTGCTAGAAATGATTTTACAACCTTCACTTAATCTAGTCGTACAAAAATATTTAGTATTTACAACAAGATTTAACCGACACGAAATCATAAATAAACAAATTGTCCTACAGCTCTGTTCTCGGAGACGCCGAGTGGAAAACAATTTATGGAGTGCACCCTGTGGGAGTTCTGAGTTGGGGCCGAAATTAAATAGCACGCTCCAGTGCATGATTGATTAATGTCAACATTACGAGTGCATCAGGCCACGCCAACGCATATTAATTTTGCAAATTAATGGAAAATGTTAATTGCATTAAATGGATTCCTCCTCCGTTTCGCATTTCCCTTAAACGTGGCTGGAGGACGTCGAGGCAGCTGCATTGTTGTTTTTGTTCCATTTGTTGATGTACTCCATGGGTATTTCGATCTGTATCTCCTGCACATCGTCCCCCTTGCTGTCGAATGTGGGCCTGGCGCTGCCGCCGGCACCTGGTCGTTGACCGGCCCCTGCTCCGACTGAAGCTGCTGCAGTGCCTCCTGTGACCGCCAGGCGGGAGTCGCTCGCAGCCAGACGCTGCTGCTGCTGGGAAATCGGCGTCAGGAGCGCCTCGTTCCTGTATTATAAGTTGTCTACCATCTGAGACTGGCGGCGGTGCGAGGGCGTGGTCGAGTTGAGGTAACTCTCCGAGTAGACACTCTTGGCCCGCTGATCGTAGCGCAGGCTCGAGCGCCGAATGTCGATGTCCAGCGGCATGTGCGGGTCCTTCCACCAGTTGCAGAAGAGACAGAGCAGCGTGTTGCGGAAAGCCTCTCGGAAGTCGCGATTGAAGTAAGCGTAGATGAGCGGGTTCAGCGTGGAGTTGAAGTAGCCGATCCAGAAGAGTATGGACACCACAATATCCGGCACCTGGCAGGGGCCGCAGGTCATGGAGAGCGTGTACCTGTGCCGGCGAGAAGGGGGAAATGTACATAAATTCCTGATGCATAAGCGAGCTGGGGGGGGCTTTGCAAAAATGGGATTATGTGTGTGTGTATCCTCAGTGTGTGGGGAGGAGGAGGCTGACGGCAGCCAAAAAGCACAGCCTAAACAAAGGCAGACGACGGGTTGTGTGAGTAATATTTAATTATGCATGCGTGACATTAGATAAATTATGCCGCAAATCCCATGTCAGCAGTCCCGACACTCACCACAGGAAGAATGGCAGCCAGCAGAGGATGAAGGTGCCCATGATGATGCCCAGCGTGCGTGCGGCCTTGTGCTCCCGCTTCATTTTGATTAAGTGCTTGTCCTTAGTGGGGGTATGCTCCTGCTCGACCTCATGCAGTGTCAATGTTTTCGACGAGCCCGAGCCGCTCATTGCCTCACCTACACCACAGACAGAGAGAGAGAGAGAGAGAGAGAGAGAGAGGCATAGGGAGATGGTGTTGATAAATGCCCAATCTGATGGAGATGGTAATGTGAACTCTCACCTGAGGGCTGCATGGATGGGCGGTGCATCAACATGGCATTGCCGTGGCGCATCATCAACTGCTTCTCCTGTCGATTGGCCTCCCGGAATATGGCCAGGTAGGTGAAAATCATGATGGTGCACGGTATCCAGAATGAGATGGAACTCGAGATGATGGCATAGTACTTGTTAACCACAAATGCACACTGTTCCGGATTCTCCTTGACGAACACCTTGTGCTCGTCGGTCGTATACCAGCCAATGAAGATGGGCAGGAACGAGAGCAGGGCCGGTGATATCCACGTGTTCAGCAGCATAATGCCCACAACGCGTTTCGTCATGCTAATCGGATACTTGAGCGGCTTTACAATCGCATAGTATCTGCAAAACGGGCAACAAAAGGAGAGTTACGGCCACCGGTCCATTGCAGCAATGGCTTCTGCCTGTGGCAGCAACTGTAATTACCTATCCACGGATATGCAGCATAAATGCAAAATGCTCGCTGTCGAGAAGTACACATCGAGACTGTTCCACAAATCGCACAGGAAGGGGCTGAAGTTCCAGCTGAAAGAGTTCAATTAACGGAGAACATCAGTATCACACAATGATTACTCAATAATCCCAGCATCCAAAAGGTTATATGTACCCCATTCCCATTCCCCGCAGTGTATCTTATTATCCAATGCATGATTTGGCAATTTCCCTTCTCTTTGTGATGATTCATTTCTGCCTTTTACTTTTCTTGCTGTTTATAAATACTTTTATGAAGTCATCGCAGGCAGCAGCTCAAGTATTTTCCACCAGATATTCCATTTGAATTTTAAATCACTTCCAACAAAGTGAAAGTTGTGCACAGAAAGACTGCGTCTGCAGTTGACTGTCGCTCGCCAACTTGCCCCAAAATGTAGGCTGGGGCATACCCCAAGCGATTGCCAGTATCAGGCTTGGGATCAGACTGCGAGTCCCACTGCCAGTCTCCTTCTTTTGGTTATCAGACCGCCTGATTTATGTGTTTATCGATTTCATCTTAGCTTCGGTTGCCAGGTGACATTGCCCCTGAACTGAACTGAATTGAACTGAACTGCCACTGTGGCTGTGGAGAGCCAAATTAAAAGCTTAAATGCACCGTGAGACCGAAAATAGGCCATGGGGCTTGTGTGCGGAGGAGACTGACGGGGCGGGGCTGCATGAAAAACTCATTAAAACTTGCGTCGCCCTTGGTTGCCACTCTGGTTGGGCTCGAGCCTTAACTTGGGGCTTTCGCTTGGGCTTGGGCCTTTTTTCGCTTCCCAGTTGGCCAGAAGGCAGTGAAATTTATTATCGGGCGCCCCGTTTGGCATCAGTTTCAAAAACTTTTTGACTATTCAGAGAAACTGTGTGAGCATGAGCATGCCAGCAGCGTTTTGCCTGCCCCAACCTGGTCGGCTCTGTTCTGTTCCGGCCCGGCCGGGCGTGGTCTGGTCTGTGCTTTGGGCGTAGGCGTGTTTGGTTTTGCACTCCACTCCAGGGCTGCCATTCTTTGTTGCATGGAGGGTATGCTCTGTATGCTCTGTCATGAATTGACGCTTAAGCCAGGCAGGGTCGTGAAGTGAGTGCTGCAATGGCAATGGCAATGGCGGTGGCGATGGCGATGACGATGAGATGGCAGTGGCAACGATGCCGCGGGCAAAGTAGCGTCAATTATGCAACTAGCGACTGTGAAGGTGAAATTGCTAATGAATGCCAAGTGGAGGCGGCTCTGCGGCTGCCTGGCCGTCTGGATGGGCTGCCAGCCCTGGCCTGGCCTGGCCTGCCAGGAAAATGGGCGACAACAACTGCGGCCAATGCCAATTTATATGCAACTCTCGTGGCCAAGTGCCTGCCGACTGAAGTTTTCGGCCTGGCAGCAAGTGCACACATTATGGACGCCCTGCCGCTTGCCTTGCCCCCACCACCTCATCATCATCATTATCATCATCATCATCAGTGGCACGCTCATCGTTGCCTTCATCATTGTCGCTGGCAATGACATTGCAAACATTTGCATTGGTGGGCGCCTGGGCGCCGAAGTCGGGCTTTAAGCGAGGCCTTTAAATCAGCGTCCATGCATAATTAACTGAACGGAGCCAGCCCCGCCGCCTGCACTTGGCATCGCACAACCGCCGTTACATCTGCGTGTTCACATACGAGTTTAGTCCCATATCGCCAGGCACCCACAGACAGTCATAGTCGGACTGGTGGACGGTCGGAGGGCAGGACGTGTGGCGTGAAGGATGTGACCATGTCACATTCTGACGGGTTTTGTCCCTTACAATAGCATTTCAAAGTTGTCGGTGCTTCGTCTCTGTATGTGTGAGACCCATTTAAATATATCTACCTATAGAAAGGGTATATCAGGCATCAGAATTAAGACTTTGTCTAGTGGGTAATGGGTCTATTATAAGTCTTGTTTAATAAGGTTTAAGGTAACCTTTAAACTGTCTTCAATGCACTTTTTCAAGCTTCTCCCAACATTATTGCATATTAATCTCCATGTCCAGCTAAAGGGTATCCCAAAGTCCACTCTTTCTCCTCTATTTTTTGTGTGCATCTCACTTGCTAGTTTTTCTTCTTCACATTTTAATTCTTGAACACAAAAGCACGCACATGGCCATAGTGGAGGGGGAGATGACTTTCTTCATTTGCATTTCCACACACAACCGCACACTCACACACACACAGGCACACGTACACCCCCTGATAGCCTCGTAGCCCCCATAGCCACATGGATATACACTCTCACACAGACAAAGACATTCAGAGAAGCATAAATAAACGTTGCTTTCATTTTTCAGGGATTTTTGTGTTTCGGTTGTTTGTTCTGCAACTGCCACGCCCTGTAGCAGCCCTAGACCCAGCACCCACCATGCCACACCTCCGTGACCACCCCATTGAGGGTGCCTGATGCCTCGTGCCTCCCCTTTTGGATGGCTGGCATTTTGTTTGGCACTGCCTTTAGTTGCAGCTGTAATTTTTGCAACAGTTTTGCTTACTTTTGTTGCACAGCCGAGGCTTTGAGGGTATATTTTTGCTGTTGTACTTACCGTCCAGTTACTTGCACACTAAAGTTAAATGTCATGGCCATAATAGCGACCATTATATCAGCCATGGCTAAGGAAACTACAAAGTAATTCGTTATAACTCTGCAAAGAGAAGATGAGGAGAGAGAAAGATGTTAGCAATCAGAGCACAGTATCAGGCAATACCAATGGAAAGGCGGGGACAATCATGCCCCCGGGTGGGCTAATCAAGATATTGTATGAGTGAGTGCGTGAAGAGTGCATTTGGGATATATGTTTGTATCTACAGTAGATGTGCATGTGTCTGTCTGCATGTCCCATTTATCTGTGAATGGGATGCTAACTGAGGTGGTTTTTCTTTTGTGTCAGTTGACAGTTTGGACCCTCATGCCAACAGAGTGGGTGATGCATTCTGATGCCAGCATGGGGTATAATTGAAAAGCCAGTCAAGAATTGCAAACGATGGCGAACCGTTTCCACCATGGGAATGGACGAAACCCAATGGAGGGACAATGGACAGCCAGAGAGAAGGCTGCGTGCGGTTGCCCCCCAATCGTCAGGGTAAACGTTTGCCCCAGCTTATACCTATTTTGTTATTTAAATTAAGCTTTACTTCGTGTGCAATTAAATGGCTCTTGTCAATTAGAGTTGGCTTTCCGGCTCCAAAGCAAACTCCTCTAATCGGATGTTTTTGAGCAGCTCTTGTAATCCCTTAAATTTCGCACTCATCTCTGAACATTTAAGACATTAATATTTTACTTTACACAAAGTTTAACCTCATCTTTTAGTAATTTAAATTTGTGCTTTCGGTACCCCCCACTCTGGAAAATAACCTGCTTGCAACGCTACTTTATCCTTCAAGTACAATGTGCCCTGGGCTAGCGCTTAAATAACTTTCAACGCCTTGGACGTTAATTGCAACAAATCGACGCCAATTTGCGAATGTTGCGCCATTAGTCAGCCCCCCTCCGCTCGGCATCGTAGTAGTTGAACTCGGGTAATAATTTGCCTGCCATTTAAATTTAAGAAAAATACCTAAAAGAAGCAGCTGCTCATGTTGGCCAAGAGCGGAAACAGTTGCCGAGCATCGTTCAAGTGCGTTAATGAGCCTTCGCCCGCACCTCCACCTCCGAATCTACCTCTACCCCAGTCTCAATGTAATGGCAAATGAACGCTACATATTCCGCAACATACATATAGATATATACTTGTACACTCATAGATAGATGCTCTTTGCTGCGGCTCATCTTGGGGCGGGCCAACAACAAAAAATATGTACGAAATTTTATTGTTTGCCATAGAACATTTTAAATTTATGCTGTCATAAAAACCATAAGCTGCCTTAATTGCCAAAGTTGTTGCCGCGCGGTGAGTGTTGTTGTCGTTCTTCCGCTCGTTCCCTTTCCCCCGCTCGTGCCACTGATACTTTCCCTTGTTTTTGCCCCAGCACAACCCGCCTGCGTCCCTGCCTGCCACTCGCCATGGTTGCATGCATTTTGTTTTTGTTCTATTTTCTCTTTGAGCTACATGCTCGCAGTGTTTAATTGTCATTTCTTTCGTTTCTATGTATGTGTAGAGCGTTTTTTCCACATTTTTATTCCACTGCCTCGCTTCACGCTGCGTATGCGTAATTTGTGCAGCCCAGAACAATAGGGAATTTGTGCAGAGCTGCTCGAAGGCTGACCATACAGATGGAGCTTGCTAGGCTACTCTTGGGATTTTTGTGAAACATTTTCAGAAATTAATTATTCCCAGGATTCAGGGCCTCCACGGAGACCCATACTCTTTCCTTTCGGCGTTTCCCCCACTCATTATCACAGCAACATCATCATTATCTTGATCGTCATCATTAGTTGGGGGACTGACTCTGGAACTGGTACGGGGGCAGGGTCTGGGTGTGGGTCTGGGTCTGGAGCGGGGCACCTGGATCCACTGACACGCAAGTCACTTAAAAAATAAAACGCTTCTCATTAGCAGCAAAAGCAGCAGCAGAAAAAGAAGTAAACCTAAGCGACTTCCAACCTTAATTATGCCTTGCCTCCGCCCTTTTTTTTCATTATAATTTTGTAGCTTCTTTTTTCAGCCATTTTGCAAAGTTTGTTTGTTTCGCCTTTTGGCTTCATTGCCCCTCGCAAACTTCAGTTAAGAGCATTTCAAGTTTCTTCGTTTGCTGTGTGAACATTCTTTGTAGACCGTTTAATAAAATGAAAAGACCGAAGGCGATACACCGACTATAATTTACCCGCTCTGATAGCTCGTTCCGAGATGAGATCGAATTGGAATTTCCAAAGTAAAGTTTTTTATGGTATATTTTGTATCTATATTGTTTTGAGTCGAAAGCACATAAACAGGACTCCCCTGTTATCTCCGTAACGAGGGTACAGTCAAAATCGGAGTCAAAAGCCTGGAGAGAAGCTTTGATTGCCTCGAAGTTGATGAGAGGATGGGCCAGAGACAGCGGCTTTATGAAGCGCTAAATTGATTTGCCTGCCAGTTATTAAGGCATAACTAAAAAATATTAACGAACGAGGGCCAGTCGACGTCCCATCATTTATCACTTGAAAGTTTGTTATGATATTGTGCGCTTCTCTATAAACGGTGGGCGAAGGACGCCGTTCAGCCACCATTCCGCCCCATCAGTTGACAGCGCAAGTAACGAGGACGCCCCGAGATTTTGAACTGTGTTTGTGTACTTGTGTATGTCTTACGTATTTGCGGCAAATTTAGAGATAAGAAATGTTGAATGTGAAGGTTTATTTGTTTATTATTGAGGCCTAGCGACGATCCAGTCGTCAAATATGGCAAATTGTATTCATAAAAACATTCCGATCTGCGTAGGTTTACGAAATAAATGCCAAAGAAATAAAAAAGTATAAGTTGAAAAGTTTTTTGAATGGGGAGAAATATTTATTAAAATTCTTGAAATACTTTGGAGAAAAATAAATCAAGGCTCTACGGCCAAACACTTAAAAATTGAATTAATAATAATAATTAAAATCAGTGGCCAGTACTGATTTAAATCAGTTAATTTATTTGACAAATTCGTGTTCGATGTAAATCTCTAGCTGCATTTAATGGAAATTATTTTTCCCAAATTAAATCATGAACAAAGCTTCCAATTAAGAACCCCTAATATGCAAATTGGATGATTAAAAAAGTCATAAAAGTTAATTTGTCATTACAATAATGCATTTCGGATCTTTTGTTGTCTGTCACAGAGCAGAGACTAGTGAAGGGTGAGTAAAGCAGTTAAATGGATTGCACGAAACGGCAAAAAATGGGCGGGTAGCCCCGTACGGAAACGCAGGATAGAAGAAAACTGTGACGCTCAATTATGAGCTAAATAAATAAGGGGCAAGGAATCTGCATAAAACACGGACGACGCAATGACAGGGCAGAACGAGAACAAAACGATAAGCAGCCAACGGCCATGGGGCATGCCCCAGCAGCACGGGCTATGGGGAATGGTGGCACGGAGCACAGAGAGCACGCGGACGTGCATGAATTTTATGCAAAGTTGACGAAAATCGCGCAAGGAAAGCGAAAAGCTTTGTAATTTTTTAAAGTGTTACGAACGGAACTGGGAGCGGCACATGGAGGCAGCTCTGTAAATTGGCAATCAAGACAACCCCGGGACCAGGACGCTGGAGGGTGCACGAGGATGCGGGTGCTGGAAGGAGCTGAAGCAGTTTTATGCAAATTACAAAAGAATTACACGGAGAGAGAACAGCTCTAATTGCTTTTTCACAGATAATTAGAATGCGTGGGCCATGTTGCTGAAGCTGCAAGTGGTTGACGGGGAGTGCGGCAAATGTGGGTGAGTGGGGGTGTAGAATGAAAAGGATTATGGAAAAGAGTTATTACGTATACGCACCTTAATTTTCTAACACGCATCACAGAAATAATAACAAGCAGATTGCCGCATATGGCCGCTATGATGATCAGCAGCATGACGAATGCCTTGAACAGCCAGAAGACACTGTCCAGCCAGTCCTCATCCTCGGCTAGTGTGGCCAAAGAGGAACCGGCGTCCAGCAGGCCACTGCTCTCGTTGAAAAGCGTGGCCGCCAGTTGTGTGGCATTCAGTAAGTGCTGCGTAGGCGGGACTGTGGGCGTGGAAGTGCCCTGCAGTGGCAGTGCAACGGGCTCTGTATCGGCGGCAGGCCCGGACAGTGCGCTCGTTGTGTGCAGCAGGGCCGCGGTGGTCAGGACCGTAGCCGTCACTCTAGCCAGGCTCCAGCCTGGACTATTGCCCTGGGGAATCGTTGTGCTTCGCTGTGGCTGTGGCTGTGTCTGTGGCTGTGGCTCCTCCTGCGCTGGCTGGCTGCCACAGCAGCAGCGTCTCTTGCGTATCCTTGTGGCACTGGTGCGATGCCTCTGCCGCGGCATGTTGACGGAGGCTGCTGCCGTCGACAGCTCGCCAAGATCGGGGCACAACAACATGAGTCGGGATCTGGGTCGGAGTGGAGCCTGAGCTTGAGTCTATTTTGATGACTTTTCTTGGGGCTTATTGGTTTTTCTCTTCTTTGGTTGGTTAGGTGGCCACAACTTGTAACTTGGTTACTCTGACACTTTGTTTTCTTTCGGGATTTTGCTTAACTTTTTAGCACTTGGCCTGAGGCCTGCGGGGGTCGGACTCTGGCGCGTTTCACGTTAATTCGCTGGGCAGGCAACACCTACGCGAACACCTGCAGGAGCACCGACAACGACCACAGGGACAGGGAGAGCGACCGCCATTTGAAATTCACGACACGCGTAGCGCCGGCGACGTTGAAACCAAAACTGAAACGGCCACCGCAACGGAAATTGATTCGCGAAAGTGGCCCGGACCCCGGACTGTGTTGGCCACGACAACGTCGTCGCAGTCCCAGTCGCAGTAGCAGTCGTCGGTGTCGTCGCCGACGTCAACGTCCAACGTGGCTGTCCTTGCCAGCCAAAGCCGCCCACTCACTGGCTAATGGCCTCGTTGTCGCTGCTGCTGCTGCTGCTGCTGCTGTTGCTTTTGGCCGCTGCTGATGATGGAGGCTGGCTGGCTGGCTGGATTGGATTGGATTGGGCGCCTGGCTATTTACTGTGCGGCTTCTGTTTTTGTATTTGTAGTTGATGCCACTGTTGCTGTTGCTGCTGCTGCTCGTTGATTGGGTTTTTTTCTAGCTCCAAGCGGCTGCTTTTTAATTTTGTTCATTTTTTGCTGCCGCGGCTGATGCGGGGGCCGCCCTGCTCGGTTCTTGTTCTTGCCGCTTCTGCTGCTACTGCTGGTGCCACCGAAAATTCGTTGATTTCTTTTGGTTTTATTTTTAACATTTCTTTGGCTTCAAAATTATTTTTAGTTTGCTTCAACCAAGTGCTTCTTGTACTCTGCTTCCACTAATTCAAATATTGTTATTCGATGTTATGTTTTCTGGAACTGTGCCACAAAATTATGCACAAAGCATACAACAACAACGAAAAAACACCACCAAAAATCAGTGCGGGAGAAAACATGAGTTCGATTTGCTTAAGCTCATTGGTTGCCCCGATTATAATCACTTTTGCATATTACTCTGCCTGTTTCTACTGATGCTTCTGGCTGTTGTATCGATTCGAGTCAATATTTGTTTATTTACTGACGCAAAAGTTGAGTTCTTGATGGGGATTTTGATGTTGTGCGTGTTTTGTAGGATTTTATGCAGAACTGGCAGGGTGTCTGAATCGGGGCGTGTGTCTAGGCTCAACTGGGAACTCTTCTAGCATTGATTTTACCGTTTTCAGTCATTCAAACTTTAATTAAAACATCCATTTATTTTCCCAAAACTAGAAATGGAACCTACCCTGCCTTTGGTAAAGAACAGAGTGATTTTGTATACGATTTTTATTTTAAATTCAAAGCCTAAGGCTGGACAGTTAGTTTGTAATATTCAAAAAGTGCTAGTAGGGTTTCCCAGCCCTAAGCTCCCACCCTGCCCCAAAATGCCACACCCTGTAGAAACCTAATGATTTATATGACAACAGCTGGTCGAAAGAATGTCACTCGCTTCGAATGCCTTTTAGCATACAGCCGCCATATCTACTATATCTATATTTCTATAGCTAAATATTTCTCTCTGGTCAGTCTGCCGCCTGGCCCCTGTAGTCCCTGCCCCATGCCTCATGCCGACAACTAAGTAGGGGGAAAATGTCCTAATGCTACTTTTTTGCTGGCTCTTAGGCCGCGGGCGGTGGTGGGATGCCTTAGATATACATGTATACAAATCTATATATATGGGATAGAGAAGATAGAAAATGACTATGCTTATATGCTAGTCTATATATTTATTCATTTTGATGAATATTTATTTATATATTGTATGTACGAGTGTTTTTTCCCCGAATTTATTTCCTGATGATGTTTTATTTTCATGTTCCCACACGCTTTCAACGCTCGCTCGCTCGCATTTTGGCTGACTTTTGGATGTTGTTGTTTTAAGTGTATTTTGTGTTGTATTATTTTTTAGTTTCTTAATTTTCATAATTGTTTTTGTTGCTGCTACAACAGATTGGTCACTCGAATTTTGGCGGCCACGATCCCTAAATTAGACCAGACGTTTGTTACTCGCGTCGCGGATTTAACTTTTTATTTCCAACATTTCCAACGACAAATTTTCGAGTTGATTTGTGCGTTTTGGTTCTCGGTGTCGGGTTCTTAATGTTCTCACATTGCACGTGTGTGCGAATAGATTGTTAATTAAAAGGGGAGAAAGTGTCCGCACATTGAAATGAAGTCGACCCGTTTGAGCGAAAACATATGTTAAAGGGTTGACGGGTCTGCCACACCCTGGCGCTTGTCCAAGTTGGGAAACTGCAAAGAACATAGAGAAAAAGTGGAAATAAATATACAAGTATTCAAAATAGAAATAAGGAATTATTTAAGCATGCATAAATATTAAAGAACAACAACAGCGAACGTTGCTGACTATATATTTTGCATAATATTTATATTATAAGTGAAAGACAGAGGCTTTTTTTCTTGAATGTTCCCGCTCATCAAAGGGGCGTGTGTTGCCATCCTTCTTCCTTTCATTTTAATTTTAATATTTATAATTTTATATCGTGCCAGAGGCAACACTTTGGTGCGCCACGAAGTCGTGTGGGTGTATAATTAATTTTGTGGCAAAACGAATTTCTATCAATTTTATGTATAAATAGATGAGAATTTGATTTTATTAATGGGTGCCCAAGTACTCGAGCACGGTGGAATGGTGTGTCGATAGCATCATCATGCTATGAAATCATGCCCATAGAGAATTTGTCAGCAGGAGGCGGAATCGCAGAAGGTTAGCGGATGAGCGACAAGCGATGACAGTCGTTCGGGAGCGGAAGCAACATCCATGGATGTATCCATGGGATGCGCAGCTGTCGCACGTGTATCTTTGTATCTGCATCCGTGTATTCGTGTATTCTCCGACTATTTCCATCGTGCAGTTAGCGCCTGACACATCAACAATCAACGGCAGCATTAGCCCCGGCCCAATGCCAATGTTAATGTCATGAAAATCATTTTTTAAATTCAATTTCTACAATTTACATATAGTTGTCGCTGTTCTATGTGTCGCTGTTCCTACTCTTGGCATTGGACGGCCTCGCCGGCCGCTCTTCTGGGTTGCTGTAGCCAAATTGTTGCCAAATTACGCGCAGCCGGACTTGTGTGCGACACGAATGTGTGGGAGAAACATCAATGAACCAGCTGCAACCAGCCCCCAATCCAGTGCATGTACAACGACCGACATCTCTTTTCTTGGGATCTTTTCTGGCCCCAATCCACTATTTCAGGAAACATTGTGTCCACGGCTAATTAAGCGCAACACACTTTCCAGCACTTGTCGGCCCTGGTGTGGCCACATGGGGCAGCAACAAAGAACTTTCGTGCATGCTCTATCTTGCTTAAAGTTTTAATTAATCAACTTGCATTTATTTGTATTTAATAAACAAAAGTTTTCATTTTACACGCGCAAAGAGCTGGCTCTCTCCTTTTTACCGACGAAAATGCTAGCATGTTGCTTCTTATTTGCTGTTGGCAAATTGCCACGCCTCCACACATTGTCCCGCCTCGTCGTGATGCTGTGCCACACACCTGAGCTGCAACGAATTGCTTTCAGTTCTCTGTTCTGTTTGCAACAGTCTTTTGCCTCGTGCAAATTGCCTTCGTTTAATTCCATTCCCTGAAAATTGTATTCCATCTCAGTTTCTCTTTGCCAAAATGAGATGCCATCTGTCTGGCAGAAGAATTAAAAGGCAAACAAATTGAAGCTTCAATTTTAAAGAATTTTCAATCCAAAAATAATGTTTATCTCTGCAGGGAGGAAAACATATTGCAAAAATACTTTGCGGAAGGAGCTCCCAAGATGGGAGATGGGAAAGCCTAATTTTAATTGACTGTAAATTCTTGCAGCATTCCCAAGCATATTCATCTACTGGCTGCTATATGCTAATATAGGTCTGTTTATTTCAGGGCAGGTCTATTCTTGGCTTAAATCCATTGCCAAAACAGCGACTCTAACGCATTGGAACTGCACCAATTCTATTTTTTAGAATAACAAAATCTTTGAATACATTTCGGTTCTTGTGGATCACAAATATTGAAAGCAGTAATTTGGGTAAAGTTTTTATATAAATTCAAAAAGTTTTTAGCCATAAGAACATTTCTGTAGTGAAAAACATTTCCCGTTTCCCTCACAAGAGAAATCCCTCAAAGACGAAAACACAGTAAAAAATGATCAGTTTTATGTATTTCGACGGATTTAATGAGCTGGAAGTGCACCCATTTAAATGTTTTCAATCTAAAACTTTTTGTGTTTGTAATTTATTGAGTTTATTGAGTTAGCAGAGCATGCTCCTAAATTGCGATGATGCATGGATACGAATACGAAATACATACATAAAAATGTATTAAAAACAAAACCCATTTCATTCAATTGCTTGCGTCAGTCTGCTGGACAAATATAAAGAGCTCTTCCAATGATTCTGCAGGTTTTTTTATGGGCTTTGTAAAAAGCATTTTAATTAAATTATAACTTTTCTTCTTCTGCTGGTTTGTTTGTCCTTTATTTTGTGAAATTATTTGTGTTGACAAGGTGCTTGACTGGAAAAATAGCCCATCAGAAGTCGCGGTAGAAAAACAGGTGAAACAACATTCGAGTGTCGGAAAAATGTGCATAAATTGTGCACTGATAAAAGGCGATTTATTTTGATGGAAACATCATCAGCGGCAGCATTCGCATTCGCATCCACATGCCCCGTCACTGCAGTCACTGACACACTTGAACTCTTAATGGAATCCCCGTCCAATTTTGTCACGCTGCCTGCAAATAAATCACATGAATAAAGCCCGTCACAGGGGGCCCCCGTCCCAGTCGCAGTCCCAGTCCCAGTCCCTGGCTGCGTGCCCCATTTCTATATGCGTTTGCCTATACTTTTACATATTTAATTTTCGCTTTCTACAGTGCAAATCCAGCCGATACACATACACATTGAGAGTCGGAGAAGCTTTTCAATTTCGAGTTCCATAGATAAATATGCCATGCTGCCAACTGTAAACGATTTCGAACGAAGAGACAGACACAGAGGAAGAGACAGTGACTGAGGCAGTGGTGGTGGCGGGGGCGGATAAAGGGACGCCTAAGGCGTTGCGATTTTATTGCCCGTAAAGTAGGCAGCCATGAAATAGGAGTCGTACAAGTCCAGGGTCCGGAGACGGGACTGCGTCTGTGACTGGGGTCCGGGACATACAGCGAAACACGAGCGGCCATTTAAAAGCCATTGTAGCTACATTCACAAAGTCCACACAATGAAAAACGAAACTTGGCTAAATAGACGGCAAAAAATACGCGCCGATTGATGCCCCATTGTGGTGGGAATGTATGGGAGATGAGGATGTGGATGTGGATGTGGATGCTGCTCCTACTGGGACTCTGAAGGATAAGCCATACAAAACAAATGTCAAAGTCAACACCCAAACCAAAGCAAACACACAAACACTCGCAGAAGCCATCGCTCCCCTCCATTTCCACTTAACTTGCAACTGGGGAAAGCTGCTTCAATGGAATAAAGGGAACAATCGGAAGGAGGTGGAGGTTGAATCTCATTCGTAGGGATGTATAGATCGATTGCCTCGATAGTTTGGCAACCAGCAGGCCACTTCAACTCTAATATGCTCTACAGAACTCTCCCCAATGCAAGCTCCCAGAGATGCAAGGACGAGGGCATTCCCGATTCATTGTGTCTTGAATGGCTGTCATGTTTCAGCATCAACCCCATTACCAATAACGGCCCCAATGATTGCTTAAAGTCCTTGGTAAAGTCATTCGATTGAAGGGCATTCCAGATTCGTTGTGGCCTTCTCCAATGTCTCCCTCGTGCCATGGGACCACTCGAGATTGTCGAGTAGAACGT